AGGGCCTGTCTCCTTACGCCCTTCCATTCGAGTCTGCCTTCATGACGATCCACCGCCAGCTTCAAGGGATGACTAAATTTTGGAGGGAGCTTGAAGAAGGATTAGGTCCTCTGTCAAGTTCCTAGGGGTTTGCGGATACTGATAATGTCGTTGAATGCCTGTACAGCTCCCTTATACCCAATACTCTTACGTTCTTGTAATTCATTCCAGATAATATCGCACGCATAAAATCGCTGAACATAGAGCTACCCCGTTTTTCAACTTGCCGCGGCAACATTTTCGCCGACGCATCAAAACATCATCAAATCCAGTAGGCCGTGCTTGTGGCCACGGTGCGACGGCAGCCGTGCCACAGGTGCCGTGCCCGTTCCGTTGCGGATTTTCTGCAATTCTCGACGGCACGGGTTTCTTCCCGACCGCCCGTTGAAACACGGCCGTGACGGCCGTGGCACGGGTTAGTTCTAACCAAGCGCGGAAAAGAAAGCATCGTATTCGTATGAGACAATGTCAATCATTTGTTCGCGCGTATTGACGACTGTTACTTCTTCACCTACCGATTTGTTGGTGGGAAACAAAGGCAAGTTCAACTGTTACCTGTGAATGCCGATTGTGATGGCGGGGTTTGATTTTAAGTTTGATTTCTTTTGCAACTTGCTTAATATCTTGGTTCATTCACTCGGTTTCATCGCATCTGAGCTTTCAGTGCTTGAACCGCGAGAAATTTGATTCTGGGTCGTTCAATCGCTTGTTCAATTTCAAGTGCACAGAGAGATCTTTAGAAGACTGCAAGTTTGCAAATGAGATAGAATTAAAAGGACGGTGTGAATGTAAGCTGAAAAAAAAAAAATCTTTGATTGATTTGGCGTGATTACCTGACCCGGAATCGAACGAGGCCTCTTGCGGCATATTCTGCACCAGTTCAGGTCTCGAAGTAGCAGCAGGTGCACACCATGTACTACCAGGTATTCTCCTATCGTACTTGAAAGTTTAGTTTATGAAAGTATTTTTCACTCCAACAGATTCCACGGTGAGAAACCTTTGGATTGTGTTCAGTTTGGAATTCAACCACAAGCTCCGATTCACGAGCTGTTCGAAAACTAGTGGTGTGTACACAGAATCAGAGTTGTCGCTCAGCAAATAAGAAAAAAGGACTGGTCAGGGACGTCACCATTATACGCACTGCGCAGTTCGGTAGGTGGATATTCAACCACGTTTCACTTTTTTTGAGTGCTTGAAAAAATAGCGTTGGGGAAGTCAACAGTAATACACGGAATAGGAATGAAGAAGAAAAAGAAAAGTCTTCAACGCCGACTATCACCCGAACCCGAATCGAACGGGGCCTCCTGCATCAAATGCAACACATTGTAGACAAACCACGAACCAAGAGCATGTGCACACCATGTGCTATCGGGTGGTTGCATATACCTTGTAGACGGTGCTGAAGTTATATGGATTACTCAACTCAAAGTTCAGATTAATATTTGTTTGCTAGGTTGGTTGGAGGTTGAAATTAAATTTCCTTGCGTGTGCACAGGCTGAAGCGCAAAGGATTATAGGTGAGCGACAAAACCAAAGAGTAGTGAAGGAACTGAGCGTATATCACCCGACCCAGAGTCGAACGAGGCCTCCTGCCTGCAACACATCTTTCGCGCAAAGTGCGACAGGTGCACGCGATATGCTATCGGGTGTTTTCCAACCTGTTTTCTTGCCGTTAACCGTGGCAATTTTTAGTATGGTTCGAAGGAGATCGTCGGTCGATTTCAGGTTTTTTAATGTGTTGGTCTTATGTCGAGTCAGTGGGGAATGACGCAAAATGAGACGGAAGGGAAAGCGAAACGGTTGATCTGCGAAGAAGAAGCATCACTCGACCCCTAATCGAACGGGGGCTTTCTGCATACGCCTCCAAAGAACCATGGTAAGTTGGGCAGGTGCACACCGTGTGCGACCGGGTGGTTACATACCTTGTAGAGGTGTTGAATTTATGGGAGTATTTTCAGCTCATTCCGTACGGTATAATGGGAGGTTGGATTTGCACCTACAGCCATGGTTCAGCTTGCCAAATGGTTTAAAAAGTATTCTAACCTAACCTTGATGTCGAGGCCAACACGAAAAGCGATGAGGGCAAAAAAAGATTAAAAAGAAGAAAATATTTCAAGGTCCATCATCCGACCCCGAATCGGACGGGGGCCCCCTGCATCCAAGATGGGCACGGACATCCGAAATATGGCAGATGTACACCGTGTGCGATTGGGTGCGCAACTATGCTGGGGTGTTGAATTGATATGAACATAGCGTCGAACAAGAGTTGATTTGATGCTCGATTCGGGCAAACCGGTCGGAGCTCTGGGACAGAGGAAACAAAAAAGTCTTCACCAGCCGACCATCACCCGATCCCGAATCGAACGGGGCCTTCTGCCGGTAAATCACTGTCAAACTTTTCTAACTAAAAGTAGCCAGGTGCACACCATGTGCTATCGGGTCGCTATCATACCTTGTAGAAGTTTTGAATTTATGCGAGCATTTTCAGTTCACCTCCATACGTTAACCGTGAGAAATCGGGGATTCAGATGTGACGGTGACGGGTTCAACTACAACCACAGCCATGGCTCAGCTTCCCAAATGGCCCCTACCCCCCCAGAAAAATCGCAACCTACCCTTGATCTCGAGGCCGGCACGAAAAGCGAAGGGGCCAAATATTTAAAGAAAAATGAAAGTGCTGAGACTCAAGCGGGCCCCCGAATCGAACGGGAGCCTCCTGCATACAACGTTAACATACGCACGGATTTCCGAAATATAGGAGGTGCACACCATGTGCGACCGGGTGTTCTCCTACCCATGCACGAGTGCTGGATTTAGCATCGTTGATGCTCGATTCCGAGTCGGGCAAACTTGCCGGGGCTCTGGAACAGAACACGCGAGGGGGAAAAAAAAGAAATTGGTTAACTAATTATCGCCCGACCCCGAATCGAACGGGGGCCTTTTGCATCCAACATGCCGACGGGCTTGCGAAATATTTATAAATGCATCAGGAAAAAATGCCATGGTTACGTAACGCACAATAGCGCAAATACCCGTGGTAGCCCCGTAGACTAGTCCCCTATTTGATAGCCCATCATAGCCGCCTGCCAAGCTATGATAGCCCTCCATAGCCCTCGCACGGAAGCTCCATAGCCCTCCGTAGCACATAATAGTCCTCATTAGAGGCTATCGTAGTCCTTTGTAGCACGTAATAACCTTCAATACCTCTCATAGGTCAGACATAATACGAGTGAAATAAATGAATAAATGCATTGAATTCGAGCCGCGGCATACAAATAGGCAGAGATATGTAAAGAAGACGGACAGAAACACACACGTTTCTCACCCGGTGCATGTGCCAATCACGTACCAGCTCTACGACGATACTCATCTTCTCATGGACGCAGGTGTTGGGGCGACACACTGGCAGGGGTCATGGCGCAATCGACGGCGATAAGTGGGTGTCGTTCCTGGGGCAAAATAAGCAAGTGAAATATATGTTTGACAAGGGAACAGATTGGATGGGCTACCTGACGAGCCACCTCAGAACCTCAGCTCCATACCGCCTTGCTCCGATAAATGGTACTGCGGAACATGTCAGAGGTAGAAGCGTGTAGCAAATTACCACTCACTGAATATATAGGCGGAGGCAATGAGCATAGAGGGATACAAGCGGGGAAGAGAGGTCGCAAGTCACTTTGAGATCACCGCACAATGATAAGCCAGTTGGATGAGAAGGACCGGCTTTGAGAACGAGACGATGCTAGATTAGCTTGAGGGGATGTAAATTGAGATTTGAAGGTATTGGAGGGGAACTCTTTGGGGCTCAGACTTGATGTGTCTTGGAAGAAACTTGACTTGCAGAGCAGTACAGCTTTGAACGTTGTGAAAACTTGATGGGAGGAGGTGTGAGGGTATATCTTGAAGATAGAACATGACTTGTGGCAGAGGACGAGACCAAATGGGACAGCCGACAGTGGGGCGAGGGCTGGCGAGGGCAGGAAGATGGGGGGAAAGAACAAGGAGCGACAATATGTTTTGTATTCCGGTGCCCGGATACGTAAGGGGGAGCTCGCCAATACAGAGTTTTGTTTTTCACCGCTGGGCCATCGTGGGAGTCAACACGTGATTTAGCAAATAACACCAAAGACGTGGATTTCCACGTGACACGCAAATCGGATCGCCTAATAGAATCGGGGGAGCAAGCTCCCCCAATCAACCATCTGTCAAAGAATCACGCAATCGGCGCGTGTCGGCGGAGTTTGAAATGGACTTGCGAGAATATTTCTTCAGTTCTGCTTGACCAAATGTGTTTTACGGTACGAGCTGTTTTTTCCCATCCTACCTCATTGCACTACCCCAGGCCTCAACGAATGGTATACTCTCTTGGGAAGGTAAAACAAGTGGCCTTTCCGGATCACCGCTACATCATGCTACTGATCCGCTGCCGGCGGCTATCAGGGGCTACTGAGGCTTGGCGCACGGCTACGGGGGCTACAGAGGACTACCAAGCAGCAGCAGTGGGCTACGGGGCCTACCGGTGCTATACATTTTTGTTTTTGACTAGGTAGCAAAACAGTTTTTCCTGATGTGATGGGAGGTGCACACCGTGTGCGACCGGGTGGTTGGACTGCCCTGCTTGGAGGTTCGATTTAGGACAACCGGTCATCGAGCGTGAGAGTTGTTCACTCGGAGTATGTGTTCCTTGAACTTGTACTCACTTTGTTTCGATTCGATTCGATTCTATTGGATGAGGTGATTTTTGCGGACGGACAAACGAACGAACGGCAGGTCAAATAAGGTCTATGGTGATACGAACACAGACGAACAAGGGAGGTTCGAGGTGGACGGAGATGTGTGATAAGGTCAAGAAGTGGAATTATGACAATGGAACTCGGAAATCGACCCGCGGATTGGACGCTTGAAGGTGCGAGAAAGAGCCCCAAAAAGAAGACTAAAAAACTTTGGAGAAAGCGTCTGTATCACCCGACCCCGAGTCGAACGGGGGCCTCCTGCCTGCAACATCGGTATCAAGTTCGCTAAGGTACGACAGGTGCACACTATGTGCTATCGGGTGGTTTCATAACCTGTTAAGGTGGTGGATTCATGTGAGCATCTGAGCCTTCAACTGTGGCAATTTTTGAGTGTGGTTCGGAGATGGTTGGTCAGATTTTAAGCACCACGAGATTGGTGATATTTCGGGGAATTCAAAGGTTGAGGTACTTAGCTTAATAGACAGATTGTTTGTCACAGTCAAGACTAAATCGCGTCCAATATCAAAGATAAAGGATTGGGGAGTGCGATGTGTATAGCTCGAAAGAGGATGGAATAAAAGGTTAACTACTACAGACAACTAGCTACTGTATATATACTGTTTTATCGAGCCGTGTGAACGAGAACATAAATATACTACAATAGTCTGTAACCATGTGTTGTACATGCATTGTCCATGAGATCTGTCAAGACCTATTAATTAAATGTGTGTTCCTCATGTGAACCGTCCCTCCACCATGTGTTCTTACAAAGCGACCTGTATCCTCATGTATAAGGTGTGTTTGTCCAGAACGTTCCGAGGATATTAATAAGTGCTCATATAATATAAGCGCCAAAGATTAGATAGGCACATGTTTACATAAGGCGTTGGAACGATTAGATAGTATCAAATCGTGACATTACCCCCCTCTAGGGTCGATGTCCTCGTTGACAGAGACAAAAACACCAGTCTCTGGGATAAATAATTTCTTCGTCGAGTATGGTGAGGACTCCTCCTTTGTTTTGTATTGGCGTATGGTTTTGTCCCAAAATCCTGCCGGAAGAATCGGTAACTCCCGAATCTTGATGCTGTGCTTCTTATTATATTCGTTCAGAAGCTTTTTTACGTGCGTCAAGTTCCTTTTTGGTTCCCAAGTCCGTTCTCCAAGCGGATAATCTTTCCATCTTATCAGCCATTGATAACCACTGCCGCGTTTTCTGTGCTTTAAGATCTCCTCCACCTCGTACTCCTTCTGTCCACTGATAATCTGAGGCGCTGGCCGTTTTTCCCTTCTATGCTCCGGGGGTTCCACATATGGTGTTAACTTCGATTCATTGAATACTGGATGTGACAGGTCTGTTTCAGGCAATCTAAGTCTCCAAGAGGAAGCTCCGACTTTTTCCAGAATTTCATAAGGCCCTAGCCTCAGCTTCTCTAACTTCTCCGATGGTCGATCAGTGGTTATGTCTGTCCCTTCTAACCACACTTTATCACCGATTTTGAACTCCGGTGCATCTTTATGCTTTGCATCGTAGTATTTTTTCATTGTTTTCTGTGCTTTTTCCATTGCTGCCACCGCCTCGTCACGAATCTTTTTCATTTTTTCTGCAAAATCGTTCGCAGCCTCATTGCGCGACTCAACTCTGTTTTCTATCCCCTTCCAGGGGTGGTATCCCGTGTTCGCATAAAAAGGCGACATGCTCGTCGACGAGCTGACTTTATCATTATGAGTGAACTCGGCCATTGCTAGCCATTCAGCCCAATCTGATTGCCGATAATTAACATAAATACGGAGATATTTTTCAATCTCCTGATTCATTCGTTCAGTCTGGCCGTCTGTGATCGGGTGATAGGCTGTGCTCGGGTTCATTTCTATGCCGAGCAACCAGTTTAACTCTTTCATGAATATCGAGACATATCTCGTATCTCGATCTGATATAATTTTACGTGGAACTCCGTGATATCTAATCACGTGATCTCGGGTCAACCGAGCCACCCCTTCTGAGGTAACTTCCATATTCGTTGGTTCAGCATGGATCATTTTTGTGTGTGTGTCCACCCAAACTTGAATGGCGTTAAACCCATTGCTGATTGGTAATGGTCCGATCAGGTCCATAGATATGATTTGCCAAGGCTCCTCAGCGATCTTGTGTGGATTAAGCTTCCCCTGCTTATATCGGTGCACTCGCGTGCTTTGGCAGGCTTCGCATTCCTTTATATATTTCGATACTTGGTTGCCCAATCTAGGCCACCAATAATTATGTTCGATGATCTCCTGCGTGCGGTTTTCTCCAGGATGTCCGAGCAGAGGCGGATCATGGTGTAGTCCAATAATCTTATCGCGAAGTTCTTCGTTTCGTGGTACATATATTTTTCCTTCATAATAGATAACATCATCTTTTTTCTCCCAGCCTTTCATCTTTTTCTCCAGCGCCAGCTTTACGCTTTTGTCTATCTTTTTCTCTTTGATAATCTGATCCTGTAAGGGCAACCACGAAGGCCCGAGGTACTCAGGGACTGACGTGGGGGATCCAAAGGTTAATTGACAGTAGCTAAATATACAGAGAAGCATCCCTGACGTGGGGGATCCAAAGAGAAGAAACTCTGAGGATTCCCACGTCAGCCGTGGGTATAAGTAAGCTACTAGCTAAGACCATGTGACTGGAGTGATCGGCAGATGTCCCGGGCTCGGTCACATGCGAGGTGCCATCGGGGGTCCCCCTGGCGGGTCACGTGCCGGCTCCCGGTACCGGTTCCGGTAGGCCGGTGACCGGAAGGACCGGAGGGGCCGGAAGGGCTCTGAATGGGGGTCGGGACGGGGGTTCCCCTGACATCACCCCCCCCTTGGAATGCGGCGCCACGACGCATAGACCGGATGCAAAGGGAGGGATCCCGGAAGGGCAGGGAGTCGAAGGCGGCAACGGCAATGGTGCGTGGTTTGGCTGGGTATTTCCGGTAGAACTCGGCGACAGCTTCCGGGGCGAAGAGGTCGGAGTGCTTGACCCATTGATTGTGCGAGTCGTCGTACCCTTTGAAGCGCACCATGAAGTAGAGCGACTTCCAGCGCACCTTTGCATCAAGGATCTCTTCGACTTCCCATTCCGGAGCATCACCGGGTGCGTCTGGGAGGACCGGGGCCGGCTCGTCGTAGCCGGGCCGTCCCTCGAAAGGGTCGTCTTCCGCGAGTTCCAACTTCACGACCGGAAAGACCGGGTGGAGCCGGGAGAGCCGGGGCGGGAGTTCCAGCTTGTACGCACCACGACCGACGACTTTGATGACCTTGAAGGGGCCAAGCCGTCGGTGCGAGAGACCGGGGGACGGCCGGGTTGTCTGGATGTCCGACGCGTCGAGCCAGACCCGGTCGCCTACCTTGATCTCCGGCGCGGGGGTGCGCCGGCGGTTGTAGTACCGCTTGTACTCCTCTTTGGCCTTGACCAGCGCGGATCGGGCTTCGGAAACGCCGGAGGCAATCCGGTCGCGGAATTCGTTTACCGACTCAAGTTTCGAACGCAGCCCGTTCGGCTCGAACCCCATCCGGGGGAGCCGGCCGGTGTCGGTCATGAACGGGACTTGCTGCGTGGAAGAGTGGATGTGGTTGTTGTAGGCGAATTCGGCGGCCGGCAAGAGGTCGTCCCAGTCATCCTGCATGTAGTTGGTGAAGATGCGGATAAACTGTTCCATCTCTTGATTGACGCGCTCAGTCTGGCCGTCAGTCTGCGGGTGGTATGCCGTGGAGGTCGCGGGCTTGACGCCGATAAGGCGCCAGAGCTCAGTGGTGAACTCCGCAATAAATTGCGGACCCCGGTCAGAGATGTACTTTTCCGGCGCACCATGGAGTTTCCAGACGTTCCGGTAGTACAACCGGGCGGCGCCGATCGCATCAATCTGGGTGTGACACTCCATGAAGTGGGCGCGCTTACCAAGGACATCGACCACGACCATGATCGCGTCGTACCCGTGGGCCTCCGGGAGCTCGACGACGAAGTCGACCGAGACCGTGCTCCAGCGATCTTCGGGAACCTCGGTCGGGTGCAGCTCCCTGACCGGAAGCTTCCAGAGTGCCTTGGTCCGGCAGCACAGATCGCAGGTGGCGACGTACCGGCCGACGTGACAGGACAGCTGGGGCCACCAGTAGTTCCGGGAGACAAGCTCCAACGTCTTGAAGCGGCCGGCGTGACCAGCGACCCGGGTGTCATGGTGCTGCTCCAAGATCCGGCGGCGAAGGTCCTTGTCCCGGGGGACAACAATCTTGCCGCGGAAGTAGAGCAGGCCGGCATCGACGTGCCACTCGTCCGACCGGGTAGACCGGGACCGGCGGCCCGGAACCTTGAGGAGCTCGCGAGCCGCAAGGGCGACGGGATCCTCAAGGTCTGGTTCGTGCGAGAGCGCATCACGGATGTCCCGGAAAATCGGGATTTCTGGACCGGCGACGACGACACCTTCCAGGGCGCGGACATGGAACAGATCGGGGCGTAGGAACGTGACATCCTCGTTATCCCGACCGGAACCGTGGTCCGGTCGCCGGGAAAGCGCGTCCGGTCGACCCATCGTGCAGCCGGGCTTGTGATGCAGGGTGAAGTCGAACCGGGACAGGTACAGGGACCACCGCGCCTGCCGCCGGTTCAAGTTCTGCGACTTCCAGAAGTACTCCAGGTTCTTGTGATCGGTCCAGATCTCAACCGGATGCTGCGACCCTTCGAGGAAGTGTCGCCACTCCTCGAGGGCTCGGACGATTGCAAGCATCTCCTTGTCGTGGATCTCGTAATTGCGCTGGACCGAACTCAAGCTCTTGGAGAAGAAGGCGACCGGATGCCACTTCCGGTCCGCGCCCAGCTGAGAGAGAACGGCACCGGATGCGAAGTCCGAGCTGTCTGCTTCCACCCGGTAAGGTTGCGACTCGTCCGGAAGGATCAGGACCAGGTCGGTGGTCACTGCATCCTTGAGGTTCCGGAACGCGGCGGCCTCCTTCTCGGTCCAGAGCCACACCAAGCCCTTCTTCGTGAGGTCGAAGAGCGGCCGGGCGACGTCGGAGAACCCCCAGATGAACTGGCGGTAGAAGTTCATGAAGCCGAGGAACTGCTGCACGTCCTTCTTGTTCTCCGGCACCGGCCAGGCGGCGACGCCGGCGACCTGGACCGGATCCATCTCGATGTGGTCATGTGAGATGATCACCCCGAGGTACTCGATCGACGATTTCTCAAACTCGCACTTCTCCGGTCGCAAGTAGAGCTTATGCTCCCGGAGCCGCCGGAGAACCTCCCGGACGGTTTCTCAATGCCGGGCGAGGTCCGAGTGTGCGACGAGAATATCGTCGAGGTATACCA